TCAACATAACATTCGATAGCAAATAGCGGCCTAGCTTCGAGTGTTAACACCCGAACTTACCGTCATGCATCACATAACATTTTATTTGTCAAAAACATCATTTTTATTGTGGTGAATCGTTTTTATAATAATCATATTCAATTGGTATTAAAAATAGGATTTTGTGGTTCATAATTTGGATTTTCTGGAAAACTAATCGGATCAGACGATACCCTTCACGGTACCTCGGTTCCGGCTCACGGTACCTCGGTACCGTGCCGGCGGTAGGGGGCACCGTCGGTTGGCAGGTACCGCCAGGAAGCTCGGATGGCGACGGCAGTATCCTACCGTTCCGGTGGTAGGTGGGTACCGTTTGGACGGTACCTATCTACCGTACCGGCGGTAGGGGTCTACCGTGCACTGTTCATCGTCTTCCTCCTCGGGTCTGGTTTCGGAAATTTCATTTTTAGTTCCCCAAACTTCAATTAACTGTATAGAAATGTTCTCCAAGGTTCATAGGTCATTTTGGTATCATTAATTCATAGTTTTAACAACGATTTCAAGGTTTATGATTCTTGGTTCTTCAAACATGTCAAACACAAAACTCAACCAAATGACCATTAATGAACATAGAAACGATCTATATGAACATTCTATTCATTAGATATATCTACGGGCTTACCTCGAAGCGTAAGGGGGGTTTTGACGTTTTTCCGGCAAAACTTCCGGCGAACACCACGGCTTGCTCCGGCGACTATACACCAAATTGGGAGTACTATAATACTCCTCACGTTCAGCTCTCTCTTTTGGACTAAGAATGGTGATGGATAATGGGGTTTAGAGAAGTTTATATAGGAGGAGAATGGAGAAGAGGCCAATGGTTCCTGCGTCACCTTCTCTGTTTCAGCGGCTAGTGGAGCGGACGGCGATTGCGCTGGATTTCAAACGCAAGTCCCTGATTGGGACTAATTTTGGTCCCAAATGGTGTACACTTTTTGGTCCAACTTTCTCCAAATTGAAATCCGTTTGCACCGTTGCGATCGTGAAATTAAACTCTATCCAATGATATAATTTTTACATTTATTCGTTATACTTTTTTCCGACATTATATTTTTGGATGTTTGACCTTGATAGAGTAAAAATTGATTAAGTTGACTTTTATTCAAAAAGGTTCTTATCTTTAATTCTTATTAATTACTATCATGATTTATTTTAATAAATCATTTCAAAGTTCACTTAATAAACAAATTCTCCACTTATTTTTTATTTGGGTTTATACTCAGGTTCCCAATCAAGACCATACAAATAGCCAATAAATTAGATTTATCTTTATGAAATTTATCCTGATTGTGATATTGGATATCAAAACATAATTCTTATCGGCCCAAAGCCCAACAACAATTTATGTTAATAAAAACAAATTTGATTAACTGATTATTTATTTATTAATAATTCTAGGGTATATTTTGGGGCGTTACACCTACCGTACCTAGGGCCAACTCACTTCCAAATAGAGCCACATCAACCGTAAAGTCCGAAAGTTTATCAGAGTTTACGAGGATGCGCCTGGTCCCAGAGGAGCGGGACGAACGACGCTGATGTTCTCCGGCTTGCCACAGCCCGGTATCAAGATGACGGGCACCAAGGCAAGGTGCTCATCGATCTTTGGAGGATTTTGAGTCGTTCACCGAAGTGGCAACAACTCAACAATTCCAACGGCGGAGCGTTCGAACAAAGGCCTCCCTTCAACGTTGCGGATTCCGATGATGAGGACCCCATTCCATGGCCGATCGGAAGAAAGAAGGCAAAATCCATTGCCTCGAGTTCTGGAGGGTCCGGCTCTATTTCCGTTTCTTCTCACGACGATATCGGTCGGGCAATGGTTGAACAACTTCGGGTGTTCAATATTTGAGAAGAAGAAAGGGCGAGAAGAAAGGAAGAGAAGGAAGAGATCGAAATAATGGAACTGACCTTTCTACGTTATCGGCCTTCAAACGTATGATCTTCGAGAGAAGATAAAAAGAGATCAAGGCCAAATATAATTTACCTTAGTTTTTTTATTAATGTATTTTTTTATTATTGTCGCTTTCTTTTTTTAATTTAATGAATGCAATTTTTTAAAATTATTGTCACTTCAATTTCTTTTAATTTAATGAATGTAATTTTTTTTAATTATTCTTGTTTCAATATAATAAAATAATTAAATCTTATTAATTTAGTTTTAGAAGATGTATATTAAAAAATGTAAAAAATGAAGGTTTGAAGCCCATGTTTGAAGCTCTGGTGCTTCAAACCCATTTCCACTGAGAGGTAAGTTAAAGTTGACGTGGCAGAGAGAGAAATTTTGAAGCCCCGAAGCTTCACCGGTATTTCCAGTGCTCTATGCTAACGATTTAACGTGACTTGAAAGACTATTCGTAGATTTTTGAAACTGAAAGACAAAATGTGCATGAACTAATAACTTGAAATGAAATTTAGCCAATTTCACAAATAAAGTATGAGGAATTTACTTAAATAGCACTAAAACATAATGACTTTCCCTAAATAGCACCACATGTATTTTTCTTCCCAATGTAGCACTTTTAGTCATTATGTATTAGTTATTTCTCAAGCAAATATTAGTCATCACTGGACATTATGGATATTATTAAATGCTATTTAGGGAATAAAACAGTTTAAGTGCTATTTAGAGAAATGACTTAAGTTTTAGTGCTATTTAGTGCAAATATTTCATAAAGTATTGATAGAAATTTATTTAAAAAACATGCTTAATCAAATCGGAGGCATCTTTTTTTGGGGGAGGCAATAACTAAGTACATGCCTATAAGTAGAGTAGTGGGTAATCTGATATTTAATTATCCTTGTATCCATCTTAATTAAAAAGAAATACTGGTAATAAGAGAGGAATTGTTGTGCGATTCTACAAATGGCGAGACTATCTTCACCAAATTTCTTATTCCTTGTCGTCATCCTCTTGGTTTCTTGTAAGTCTTCATTTATCAATCACTTTTTTGGATTTTACCACTAATTATTTTTAATGAAATGGTAGTGGTAGTGGTGACACATTTTAGGATTTTACCACTAGTTAAAAAAAATCACTTTTTACGTACAAAGCTCGAGTGGAGCAAAAAATAAATCCCACTTAAACTGTACGTACCAGTAGGGGTGAGCATTTTAACCGAACCGACTGTAGAACCGATGGAGTAAAACCGAACCGACCGAAATTTCGGTTTCGGTTTCGGTTTCGGTTAGTGGTTAGCAAAAAAATCGGTTACTTCGGTTAATCGGGTCGGTTTTCGGTTTTGAACTTAAATAGTTAAAACCGACCGAAAAACCGAATCCAAACCATTATAGCATAATCCAATCAGATGCCTAGCCCAAAACTAAGTTAACCCAATCTATTTATCCAATTTAGATGCCCAGCCCAAAACTAATTTATCCTCAATCCAGTACAAATGAAATAAATATATGGGGGCTGGATGCACCGCACAAAGGCCACAAAGAAACCCTATACAGCACTCTCTCTCCTCACTTTCTAAGTTCTTCACCGACTCACCTTCTCGGTTTCTCCAAGCTCTGTCGCTGTGAGTCCGAGACCAACTACCTCTCCAGTCG